CTGGGGCAGGGGGTTGGGAGTGGGGAGGGGTGAGGGCTCCAGCTGGGGGTATGGGCTCTGGGGTGGGACTGGGGATGAGGGGTTTGGGATGCAGGAGGGTGCTCAGGGCTGGGACCGAGGGGTTTGGAGGGGAATCAGGGCTGGGGAAGGGGGTTGAGGCATGGCGGGTGGGGTGTAGACTCTGGGCAGTACTTACTTCAAGCAGCACCTGGAAGCAATGACATGTTCCCCCTCTGGCTCCTAAGCGGTGGTGTGGCCAGGCAGCTCTGCATGCTGCCCCATCTGCAGGCGCCGCCCCTGCAGCTCCAATTGGCTGTGGTTCCTGGCCAATGGGAGCTGCGGAATCATCACGTGGGGTGGGGGCAGTGCGTGGAGCCCCCTGACTGCCTCTACGCATAGGAGCCAGAGGAGGGACATGCCGCTGCTTCCAGGAGCCGCGCGGAGCCACAGCCAACCAGACTGCTAACGGGCCGGTCAGCAGTGCTGACCAGAGCCACCAGGGTCTCTTTTCGCCAGGCATTCCAATAAAAAAACAGACACCTGGCACCCCTAGCTGGCATGGGCTAGCTGAAGGTTTTTAATTAGAGTGTAGACATACCTCAGGGTCTGTGCTATACAAGAGGGCCGTCTCTCTGGTGGTCCCTTCTGGCCTTAAACTCTATGATTACCTAGATTTTCATGGCTCGGATTACAAGCACGTTTGTGCATTTTGCCGCAATTTCAAAATGTGCCCACTTTGTGAAAAATACTTGCACTCTGGGCTCTGTGAAGATGAGCCTACGTTTGAGCGCATCAGGTTACACTGCAAGTCATGCAGTTTCGCTCAGAAGACTGAATGTTTTCAAAGCCAATTTACAGCTTTCTCCAAGTTATGGAAAAGATGCAAGATCGTGTTGTGCAAAACTGTGGAGACTAATTCTTCAGGCTCAGCTCCCGCAAAGAACATGCTTAACTTTAAGCACATGAGCAGTCCGATTCAACGCAATGGGCCTTGCAGCAATAGGGATGAGATTTTCAAAAGAAAATAAAGCGTTGCTTTTCAAAAGCACAATGGGACTCATGCTCCAACCTCTCTTAAGCACTCTAAATTCTGAACACCGGCATGCCTTGCCGGAGCTGTACCTTGCATAGCATCATGTGTGCGCATGGCACTTTACAGGTATATAGCATGCCAGGGTACCTGCACGAGGCATTTTCAATCTGAAATAAAGAGCATCTACCAGAGAACAATATACTTACGGCAGGTTCACCACTCTCTCTCTCTCAGCAGGCCCTGTTACCTCAAACACAAAACCTTGATAGTAAATGTCCTTCCTCCCACTTTTTCCTCAGGGTTTCCATCCCTCTTCCACAGCCTGGGGAGGGGACTCCAGATCACCCCTTTCCCTCCCAAGATTGCCAATCCACTGACAAATAGTCCCTCTCTAGCACCCCTCCAAGTGCGGGCAGAGAGCATTCTATCCTAGTTCAGCGCCTCCTACAGGTACTCACTACTGTTTTCTACAGCTCAAAGTCTCTCCCTTTTCTACCCCCACTGTCTGAGTGGGTCAAATTACCTTCATGTTCCCCGTCTGGGGAGAGGCATTGGCTGTGTCACAGCTGGGGCTGAGTCCCGGCTCCCTTTAAAGGGCCAGCCACACTGTGACAGGTCCCCTCAGGAGTCTTTTCTGTTGGAAAAAAAATCACAAATGATGCAGCAAATCCTTGATAACTCGTGTGAGTTTAACACACTGTTTTCCCTCCTTTATTAGGCTCTACACAGGGACATCAGTTTGCATGAAGAGCACGTTAGATTCATATTTTCTGAAGGAGCTAGATGACGAACAGGTGATGTATCTGCAAAGTGCTGTACAGGCACCAGTGAAACCCCCTCACAGCACCGGTCAGGTAAACACTATCGTTCTCATTTGACAGATGAGGACATTGCAGTGTAGAGGTAAAGTGACTGGATCAAGGCCACAGAGGCAGTTCAGTGTCAAAGCAAGATTACAGTGCAAAAGTTCCTGGTACCTATTCCTTATCTCAGCACTAGGGCCAGGTCATAGAATCATAGAATATCAGGGTTGGAAGGGACCTCAGGAGGTCATCTAGTCCAACCCCCTGCTCAAAGCAGGACCAATTCCCAACTAAATCATCCCAGCCAGGGCTTTGTCAAGCCGGGCCTTAAAAACCTCTAAGGAAGGAGATTCCACCACCTCCCTAGGGAACCCATTACAGTGCTTCATCACCCTCCTAGTGAAAAAGTTTTTCCTACTATCCAACCTAGACCTCCCCAACTGCAACTTGAGACCATTACTCCTTGTTCTGTCATCAGGTACCACTGAGAACAGTCTAGATCCAGCCTCTTTGGAACCGCCTTTCAGGTAGTTGAAAGCAGCTATCAAATCCCCCCTCATTCTTCTCTTCTGCAGACTAAACAATCCCAGTTCCCTCAGCCTCTCCTCATAAGTCATGTGCTCCAGCCCCCTAATCATTTTTGTTGCCCTCCGCTGGACTCTTTCCAATTTTTCCACATCCTTCTTGTAGTGTGGGGCGCAAAACTGGACACAGTACTCCAGATGAGGCCTCACCAATGTCGAATAGAGGGGAATGATCACGTCCCTCGATCTGCTGGCAATGCCCCTACTTATACAGCCCAAAATGCCGTTAGCCTTCTTGGCAACAAGGGCATACTGTCGACTCATATCCAGCTTCTCGTCCACTGTGACCCCTAGGTCCTTTTCTGCAGAACTGCTTCCTAGCCATTCGGTCCCTAGTCTGTAACAGTGCATGGGATTCTTCCGTCCTAAGTGCAGGACTCTGCACTTGTCCTTGTTGAACCTCATCAGGTTTCTTTTGGCCCAATCCTCTAATTTGTCTAGGTCCCTCTGCACTTTCTCCTTGGCACCTCTAAGCCCTGATTCAACAAAGCACCTAACTTCAATGGGATTTAAGCACAAGCTGCCAGGACTACTCATGTGCTTAAAGTTATGCACATGCTTAAATACTTTGTTGAACTGAAGCTCAAATGCCTTGCATACGTAACTGTGAATTATCCTTCGGATTCCACAAAACTTGTAGCTCTTAGGTCAGATTAAACATGCAATGCATTTTCAGACCCTGGTCCAACAAAGTACATAAGCAGGAGCTTAACTTTAATCACATGCGTAATCCCACTAAAATTGATTGGGCTACATAAGTATTTAATGTTGGGCATGGGCTCTGCTGAACTGGGGCCTCCAACAGGGTTCAAATTGGCATGGGCAGCCTGGCATGAGCTGGAGAATGGGCAGAGTTATGAATAGCCAGCAGTCAAATCATTTTTTTCCGTTTGAACAGTTAGCCGCTTTTCTGGTCAGGCAGCTTCACACTAATCAACCCCATGACTTGGAAAGTCACGGGTCATTCATATCTATAAGTTGCGTGATATTTGATTTTGCTTTCAAGGTTTTTTTCTTTTTTTAGTTCCTTGCCAATCCTGTATGTCTGGCAGCGCACTGCAATGCCCTGGGCCAACGCTCTGCTACTCAGAGTGCGAGAACAAAGAAATCGAAATGGCCACATTTTCAATAAAACTCAGAATCCAGCAGCTCCCCTAGGAACATCCGAATGAATCTGGGTCCTTCCCACTAGAATGCTGCAGCTTTCCCCTGCGAACCAGGGGGACTCCCCACACCCGGCCCTCGCTGGGAACTCTGGTTGCTGTTGAGCTCTTTGGAAGAGCTGAGCCCAGACTTTCACAACTAGAAATTGTTCAATGGACAGCTTTGATCCCACTTGAAAATGAGTACAGCAGTCTCATCCCATGTGTCCACAACACAAAACCACCATATTCGGATGTGTGAATGGCAGCCTCTGTTCAAGAGGGACCCAAGAAATCGGTAACATGGATGTCCCAAGTCAGGATTTATGTGCATGGGCTGATCTATGCCTTAGGGTGAAATTTACACACCTGTCCACAGTGATGCTTGATGTAAGTTACTGTTGTGCTGTTATAAGTGTCAGTTCCAAGAGCATTGCATTCACATTGTCAAGGGGTCCACTCACCACAGTGGCACCTCCTGCTGGCCACCCTGGGGATTAGCACTGCTAGATGGTGCCTCTCCCATTGTCTTCTCACCCTGTAGACCCACCTCACTCCAAGAATCCCGGAATCCTCTTCATGACTCGGCCCTCTGGCCAGGCCACCATCCATGTCTCCCCCTTCTGGGGTTACCCGAAGTCCTTCTATGCAAAGAGTCCCAGGCAGTCTTCACCTGTGCTGCCCTGATGGTGCCCCTTCCCCCAATGGCCAGCATAGGAACCATCCTCTACTCCAGGTTCCAGTCCAGGGACCCTCAGCTCAGCAGTTCTGTGCTCCAGCCACTCAGCCCTCAATGCTCCTTCCTAGTCCTCCCCTAGGAGTACCAGCTCCAAACCAACTCACTTCTCTTCCCAGGGAATGACTACAGCCTGCTACCTTCCTGCAGTGCAGCCTTTCCCGGAAGCCCCCTGTCTATTGCTAGCTGCCTGCCTGGCCTCTCCTGCACAGCTGAGCCTGTTCACAATCAACCCTGCTCCCTGGCGCTCCCTCCAGATGCAGCCTATGGAGTTAACTGGCCTACCTGGCCACCTTAACCCCTTCGAAAGAACACCCCATCTCACACAGAGAAAATTAAAAAGAAATACCATCAACAAATAAGGCTATTTTGCATGTACCACCCAGAGAAGCTGCTTTGATAATATATGATTTAAACCCGCAACAAGAACTGCTGTGCTTTATCTAGTGTGGAAACCCTGGAAAATGAGTGTTAAAAGCTCATTCCCTTCTTTCTTTTAGAAAGACATGTTTGAATTTAATAAATACTGGAAGTTCTCTGGAATCCAAAGGATATTTTACAACAATCTGGTCAAAGAACTGGGAGGGTTTGGGACAGAGCCTGGCAAGTTCATCTGGCCAACCAGTGTGACCATGACTCTGGATGGAGATCTGGTTGTGAAAGACAGTGGAAACCAAAAGATACAGCTCTTCAGCCCTGAGGGTTGCTATAAGCGTGAGTTTTCCTATGGATCTGAACCAAGAAAAGATCTGGGAGATGTGGCATGCACACAGGATGGCTTGTTGCTTGTCACTGATGGATCCAAACCCATCAAGGTCTTCTCTAAAGATGGTGAGATGATCCACCAGCTGAAGTCTCCCAAAATGGACTGGAATCATTCCTACAGGATGGCAGTCCTGAAGTCCAATGATATTGCAGTGACAGACTGGACAGATGGGGGAAAAGTTCACATCATTGAGGTGGACTGGAGAATGAATGCCATCCTGAAGATGAACGTGATAGGCGGCTTTCATAGACCAGAGCACATTGCAGTCAATAAGGTACAGTATAGCACAAACTACTAACACAATTATTTACATTGTGGCAGTTCCCAAAATGCACTAAACACAGTCCCTGCCCCCATGAGCTTGCAATTTAGGATGAGCAATAATTTTAATGATGACTCTTTCGTTAGCCATAAGTTACGGAACAAGGTGGCAGAATTGTAAGAAACAGAGCTTTATTAAACATTCTCAAAAAGAACAGGAGTACTTGTGGCACCTTAGAGACTAACAAATTTATTAGAGCATAAGCTTTCGTGGGCTACAACCCACTTCTTCGGATGCATCTTTTTGAGGATACAGATTAACACGGCTGCTACCCTGAAACCTGTAATTAAACATTCTGTAAGGCTAGTACTCCATGCTGAGGCTCTGCTAGTTCCCTTGGTGTCACAGCCCTGTAACAATCCCCCCTACTGCCAGGCTAACACACCTCCCTGATCAGCCAAGATTACTAGAGCAAAGCTAAAAATTGGCCCCAGATCTCTTGGTCTCTGTCCATTGCCTTAACCGCAAACGATCCTTCCTCTCTTGTACTGACAGGCTGAAACAGTGCACAGAGTAAGAAGAACGTTTGAGCAAAGTGTATGATGAGTGGTCTCGTTCTGTAGAGTCCTGATGATTCTGTTGAATGAGAGACACTGGTTTTCTTGCGAGATCAGGGTGAGATCCATTTACAGTTTCTCCACAAACCCACTAGGCTGTAGACAAGCTAAGTAGTAGTAGAATTCAAAGAATGTTCTTTTCGCTGTTAATAAATTTTCTTTGTGACTCCGATACGCCTTTAGCATCCAAACTCTGGAATAGATTTCTGGGTTATTTAGTACCAGCAGTAAAGCCAAGCCCGTTGGAATTCTAGCAGCTCTAACTAGGGTACTATCACTTTTTTTCCCCTGGCAGAGTGAAGAGATACTGGTTACTGAAGGGCAGCTCTATGGAAAATACCGAGGCTGCTGCCTCAAGATTATGGACAGTGAAAGAATTCTGAAGAAAACAATTGGACCAGACTATGACAACAAATTCATCTTTGTGAATCCCTCTGGAGTCTGTGTAGATTCAAATGAGAACTTGCTTGTTGCAGATGAAGGACAAAACTGCATAGTAATGTTTAATCCCGATGCATCCCTGATTGCTTTAGTAGTAACTCAAGATCTAGAGGGCCCTCGTGGCCTTTCAGTGACCAAGGATGGGCTCTTGGCAGTAGCTGACTGCTACCATCACAGTGTGAAGTTCTACAGATACAGATGAGAGTAGGTGAATGCCTTAGCTCAGCAATTGAACTTACAAATACCTTTCTAGATGGTGAATAAAATAGAAATGTAAAAATCTAGGTTAACATGGGACAGAATTGTGATCATTGGGCTGCTTCTACCAAGCAGAAGAAAAACATTCTAGCCTTATGCAGGCAAGCACTATAGGTCAAGACTTGGAGCCAAGGACTCCTGCATTATAATCTCTGTTCTGCTACTGCTTTACTGTATGGTCTTGGGCAAATCACAACCTTGTATCCTGTCACAGTTCCTGCACCTGGTAAATAGGATTCATGCTACTTACATACCTACCTGATCAGAGTGGTACAGAGGAATGAATGTTTGGATGCTGCATTGAAGATATCAAATGCTATGTAAGCGCTAACTGATATTATTATTAGGTAATCCCAAATTCAGAGGTAGTTTAGAGTGTGTGCCAGGGTTTTTCTGATTATAAGTAAGGGGAAAACTGTAGGATTTTAGATCGGCTGTGCAGTCATTGTTGGTAAATACTGACATTTGAAAGTGATCCGTTCTGTTCATTTGCCTAATGCTATTAGGAGATGAGTTTGTGATTTGTAAGCTCTCCAGATGTGCTGGGATGCTATACTCTCCTGAAGTTAGGGTTGTCCTACATGTGACCGCTGAATTGAGACTATGAGAGGATTTGTATTCAGGGCTCTTTCTTATATTTTTGCTGTAATGGAGATGCACCGGGAATCATTCACATATCTCTTCTCACTGCTGTTTTCCCACCAACTCCGAATGTGTTGTAATAATCTCTGTAACCTGCCTTCCTGCCATCTGGTTTGGTCAAGAGTCTTCTACCCAAGCCTCCCACTGGATTCTAGTTGCTTCCTAATATAAAGTATTTTGATTCTTCTTCTTTATTAAATAAGAGGGGGAAATGTTAAATATTGGGAAGGGGGTTTCTCTTCATAGACACAGAAGATCATGAGCAGTACTACAGGAACTTCTCTTCCTCACTTCAGAATTGAAAAGAAACAATGATGGGTCCTCACTTCAGGAACACTAACAAAGGTGGATAACACCAATATGTTAAAAAAAACCCTGTGAATTAGTCAGATATGATTTATCAGTAAGTATCTGCAAGTGGGTAGAAAAGGGTAAGGAGGTGTACACTGCCATAGGTTACATGCCAAGGGGCCAGAAGGGAGGAGCAGAGCAGGACGATGTAAGAAGGTTCAAGTCATAGTTTGGAAAAACACGGTTTCTTACGTTACAGTAACTGTGATTCTTCGAGATGTGCTACCCATGTGGATCCCAGTCATGGTGTGTGTGCACCTCACCTGGCATCCACATGCACAGGGACTCCAAGAAAAATGTGGCGACTTTAACTTTCAGTCTCCTCTTAGGCCTTGTCTTCCGTAGGAGAAAAGGTCTGTTTTCAACATGTGTGAGCTAGCACATATTAAGTGAGAAATCTGCCTCCGTGCACAGGGCTGACCAAAGACCAATGCACCACTTGAGCTGTCACTCACACACTCCCTTAGGGTATGTCTGTGTCTCAAGCAGAGGAGACATACCCCCACTAGCGCTGATCAAGTTAGCATGCTAAAAATAGAGTGCCAGGCAAGCAGCAAAGGGGCTACGTCACCCCGAGTACATACCTGAGAGAGAGATTATGAGTCTGCTCTACAGCCAGTTGACTTTCAGCTCATGCACTAAGCTCCAAAGGGCCCAGGTTTGATCCTGCTGACTGGGGTCTGTCAGTGTTATACTAGACAAGTACTCATGGTGGCTAGCCCCTCACAGTGCCGCGGCTAGTCTGTTTTTACCACATTCACTCAATTAGAGCTAGCATAGATATTTCTCATCAAGTTGGGAATTACACCCCTGGTTTGAAGTGCAGACATACCCTTAGCTACCCTTGCACTTGTTTTCTAACATGTAACATTCTCCACCTTAGAAATCAGATCTGAAATTTGCTTAAAGTGTTCAAACATGCCGGGGGCACGTGGCTTCCTGGAAGGTGTGATAACAGACACCAATGCTGTACATTCTTCCTGGGGTTGTCCAAAAGGAATGTCTCATTATCAAGCTTTAAAATATTATTTACAAAACCCAAGGGACTTGGTGGCCTTGGCACATGAAACAACACTGACCACAAAGTGGTAAAGAATAAGCACAATGTATTAATAAAACCTTTTAGCAAACCAATAGGTTATCGGTGATGTGTCCTTAGACGACCAATTATTTTAATCCAGAGTTTTGGAATAAAAAACATTTTATGTTAACGATTTAAACAACCGTTTTATTTTTTAAACAAACTAAAATTATAGCATTAGTACAATATTAACATAGCCATGAGAATGTAGGAACCTCAAGAGGAAATCTAGTCAGCCCCTTGGCACCACTGCAGGATTACATATTAATAAGCCTTAGGGATTCCAGGGCGTGCAAGACAAGACAGATGGTGATATCCTCAATCTTTAACATGCTCCTTCCTTTACAATCTTTATATTCTTGTCATGTTCTCTAAGGAAAACAAGAAAAAACGATCAAGCTTTCTCAAGCTGGGACACAGGTACGCAATGTTCTGGGGCACTGCTTTCATAGATCAGATGCGCAATGCACCCAGTCTGAATAGAGACTTCCTACACCCAAAACAGATACTGAAATCTTTGCTGTCAACTCCAGTGTCTTTTTACATAAAAGGGAAATACCAGGCAAGCTTGCATTGCACCCTTCCACTGCCTATTAGATGCCACCTATGAGAAACAATCGGCCTCAGCGGCGCAGCACATCTTCCATCAGATGGCACAAAGAGCACTGATACGAATCTCACCTGCAGTAACTGCAGAGCTCGCACTTGTTCCGGTAGGTTGTCCCGTCACTGCCACAGACAGGGCGATAATACAAAATACACATTGGTTTGAGGATGTAATGAACACAAACCGGCTGGAAAAATTGAAAGAAAAATCATGAGATCGGTATTTCATTATTTAGAGAAAGCCAGAGTGAATACCTATCAGAGGGCTACATTCGGCCCTGATATACACACACCAAGCAATCCCCACTGAATCCAGTGGAGAAGCATCGGGTGTAACTCAAAGTCTGGCCCATGGCCACTAGCTCACACAGCACGCATCGTGCTCGATGGAAGAGTAATTTTTACTGCTAAAATGAAACGTGCATATGACACCTACATTCAATCAGAGAATTTTATACACCCTTTGGCTAGTAACAACATTAGAAATGGGGAAGATTTTCAAAGGCCTCATTGGCAGCGAGGCACCAAACTCCCAGGGAAAGTCCAGGGCGGTTAGGTGCCTAACTTGCAGTTGTGTCTTTGAGACGCTCCCCCCCTTACCCTTTTGGGGGAAGAGCTAAGTACAGCACTTACCAACAGAAATAAGAGAAAACTCAAAGTTCCACCTTAACGGATGGGTAATGTGGAACTGATTAAGATGGAAATGCTGAATGAGGAGATGTGGTCCTTGGCCATTTGCCAGGGAGTTAAAGTCATCAGTAACTTTCTCTACGTTTAAGCAAATATCAGTTGATGTTACATAGTCTTAGGCATAGTTAAGCCCTTTTGTACAGAATGTTTCTTTTGCGTTATGCACCACCACCTCCATTTAGATCACAAAGGGAACTAAATAGCCTGTCCAATGCTGGACCATATTCAATAGTCATTCCTGTAACAATCAGATACAAACTTTCTCTCTGGTCTCCCTTTATGGAAAGGGGAGTGATCAGGGGACTAGAATTGTCTTGCACACAAGGTGAGAGGAACTGAATATCCTGCTAAAATTTTGCCTCTAGATACCTTTGACTTTTGTCAGTGCCAGACATTTGAAAAATGTCACTTCCACTTTCAAAGCAACGAGAGTTAGAACTGCATAAATAGATGTTTTCACAGTTTCAGCACTATCAACATTAATGCCAGGTTTGTTGTTTCCAATCAAAAAGGCACTTACTACTATTATACATAACTATTTCTATCTCACACACGGTACATTTTGCAATTTCCAGGTGTCAAATCTCACATGTGAATTACAAAATTTATGGCAATGACACACAGTCCCTCCCATGGATGGTAGATGGTGAAGCAGCAGAAAAATAGTGATTTGGGGTACAGTATCAGTCTCACTCACAGTTCCCTGCTTTCACCATTATACATGACAGGCTCTGCCATGTGTGTTTATAGAAAAAAATATACACTCCACTCCCATGTATTCTATAATAATATATACAGAAAACAGCAGACAGGGAATGGGATGAATTCAGGTTGAGCAACAGAGCTGGGTGAATAATTTGTAACATTTTTTTCAATCAATTTTGCCTGTTTCATTGTCTGCAAACAGATAGTGATTTCTCCATATTTATTATCTATTCAACATTTTTTGCTTAATAATTTCTGGGAACAATTACCAGCCTGTAGCTTGTTCATGAGGAATTTGTAGTGAGCATTTGATATTTAAAATTTGAGCTGCGTGGAGTAATTTTGATCAGACACAAATCAAAAGATATGTTTCTGGTCCCTGACTGGCTGAGTGAAATTTTGACTCAAGTTTCCAGTTTGAATACTTGTGTTCAAAAGTTCAAAATTTGCTTTTTGTGCCTTGTCACTTAAAATTATCTATTCCCTGGTCATTCCTGCCAGTAAACTTGTTTGTTAGACTGTTTGTGGAAAGCAGAAGGGTGCAAGACACTCACAGCAAATTTGTTTAAAAATTCAAATGAATATAACAAGTGCTCAGTTCTATTGAACAATATTTCATACATGTAACAGAGTAAAGAAAGGAAGATCTTACGTAGCTTGGTAATTGTCCAGTTCTATTTAGTCCTTTATATCTTCCTGTGCCTTCCTCTGAAATACAATTTGTTCTTATGAAATCAAAACCTAAGCTTAAAGTGGTGAAAACTGCATCCATGATCAAACTTTAGTGCAATGTGCATAGAATTAATCTATGTAACCATGTGCTCCATGTCCTCCCTCAGTATGTTTGCTACAATCATTTGTTGTGTCTTGTTTTAATTTAGATTGGAAGATTTGGGGCAGGGACTGTCTTTAACGATGGGCAAAAGAGTGTGCAGAACTGCATCGAACCGTCCGAGGCAATATGAATGTTTCCCTTAGGCAGTCTCTGCCAGGGCTACCTAGGTCACAGCTCTGGTGCCAGGGGCAGTATCTGGGGCTGCATGCCAGATTCCCCCCACCAGCAGAAACTGGGCCAGGAGCAAACAAAGCCATAATTTCTCTCCCTCCCCCCATACACTGGCCAGTGGAACTGGCTGGTTATGCGGCGTGGGGGATGGAACATGCTGCATCCCTTAAAGGAGTGTCACAAATTATTCCCCCCCTCCCCTCCGCACAAACAGGAGCATTGTAAGGCACAGTCCCTGTGCATCCCCAGATCACACCCAACACTGTGAGCTGCTTGCAAATAGCATGATCCCTCTATGGGTGAAATCCTGGCCCCATTCAAGACAATGGGAGATTTCCTACAGACTTCAATGCAGCCACCATTTCACGCTATGTATTTATACAGTGCCTAGCACAATAGAGGCTCTTTCTTAACAAATAATAAAATCAGAGCTGCAAGATAGGGCAAAAACAGGTAATACAATTCCAAGCACTGATCATCCACCCTTATAGAAAGGTCACAGTTAAATGAAAGAATATTGGGTCAAATCCTGCAGTTTGCAGTTTGCTCAGTTTTGGCTGAGGAAAGACCGGGGACTGTAGAAATCAGCCCATTGACTCTCAGGACTTGATCCTCCAGATGCGATAGGATGTAGTACTGTACTTACTACCAGGAGTAACATGGAAATCAAGAAGATAAGCGAGTCTTCAGCACCCCCGAAATATCAGGTCACTTTTATTTAGTTGCTCAGCTGTGGATATGGGTAGCTAACTCCAACATCCAAGTTTGAGAGTTTTGGTCCAGTGTTTCTAAGCAAATGAAAAATATACCCCACCCCCACCCCGCAATACAGTGAAACAGGAAAGAAAATACTTACTGGCAAAAGCAGAGAAGCAAAAAAAGAGCACAGTGATGTGAACTTTAAAATTCATCTTGATTTTGACATAACCCACACACCTGTAGATCAAAAGCTTTGCTCTGATACTGTTTCTGGGCAGCAGTTACCAGTAATTCTTTTCATAAAGGAGTGTCTATTATATAGGCTGGGAAGTGCCAGAGTTGTTTATTTTTTAACTCTTTCACTTCTCATTGACTCTTCAGAAACTCCACCTCCTCCTTCCTTCCATGCCCTGCTCAATTCCCCCGACTGCTCTTCCCCTGCCCTATCCCTGAGGAAGCCCTCTAATCAATTCCCCTGTCACCTAATAAATTCCATCTACAGCCAAAACTCTGATCAGCCTCAGATGACCTAGAGCAACCTCCCATTCACCAGCACCCCAGTTATCCTATCCTGTTCATCCCGCATTCCACCCAAGCTTGGTGGGCTGGTGCCTGGGCTATAGGGGGGTTGTGGGGGAGCAGGGGGCGGAAGTGGACAGGGGCTGTAGGGGGGATGTGGGGGAGCAGGGTGAGGGGTGTGGAAGTGGACAGGGGCTGTA